GGGGAGGACTTCTGTGGAGATGCGGGGGTAGAAGTAAAGTTAATTATGTAAAATTTGTTATTAGTAACTCTCACTGTCTACTATTTGCAGCTATGTGCTTTCAGGCATGCTCTCTTCAGACGTGGCATCAGCTAAAGGGACTACTAGATTGCTGAACGAATGAGTACAAGACAATTTGGCTGCTGATTCTTCTTCAAGTTGGCAGGACCCTCAGGCTGAACCTCCGACCGAGGTACTAATAGCCTATAGCTCGTCTGGATGACACCGATGTCCGACAAGTTGAATCCGAGTCCAAGCACATACATTCATGATCTGTTCATGTGTTCCTCCGCACCTCTGATACGCATCAATCAATGTCCCTGTCACATGTACGCACGCACGCCCGCCGAATTTAGGTTGTCATCAGTGAGAGAATCCATGTTTTATATTGACATTACACAATTCACTCCTGGCAGCGCCACACCGGGTAATGTTTCTGTAACGTCTGGGTCCCCAGTTTCAAGTGCGTGCATGTCTATTTTGTACTTCCTTTATCCTAAATACATATCTAGCGTCGCAAGGCAAATGGATCTGAGTTGTTCAAATAGTGTGTCACCTCGCCTGTATGCCCACTCTCTGCCTCCGGCTCCGGATTCATTTTGCAGGCTCTACAAACGCTTACTAAGTGTTAAACCGAGCTGAGCTCGCCGCTCTACCTCGGTCATACAGGGTTGTCCTCGATGAGACAATTCACGTTTTATTTTGACCTACTAAGTTCACGATCCATGCAATGGCGAGTCAGCGCCAGGCCGAGTAATGTCCTGCAACGCATGGGTTCCCAGTTTTGAGTGCATGCATACCTATCGTATACTTCCTTCATCCAATCCCAAATGCGACTCCGAGTCACTGGTGTTTCTCCTGCAAGGTCTTACTCATAGGTTTTAGATGGTTTCGAGCCTAATATTCTGAGCCAGGGTGGACGGGTCATGCTAGGACGGCGCGCCTGCCAAATCTGTGCGCCATCGGCAGCTTCGTCATGGCAAGGGATAAAACGGTCCCTTGCCATGACCAAATTTCCGTCCGAGGGAGCCACGTGACTTTGTTTGGCAATGTAGCATATGCTGTTCACAATCCTTTGTGCGTTGCATCATGATATGCGACACTTTCAAGTTCTAGCATGTTCACTGACAGGCAAACAGGATTCTTTCTGCGACGGTTCGAGATACATCCTTTTCTCACACGAGTACGATGAGGTGTTCCATAACCTTGTTATTGAAGGTATGTACATGATTAGTTGTGTGAGATTGGGACTGACCTTCTCTCTACAGCTTGTGCTTTGAAGCCCGACCTAGACTCGGAGCTTCTCCCACAAGGTGATCTGACGGAGGTCGGTGAAACGGGTATGTTTTTGTCCATGCCTTCAACGGCCCAATGATAATGTTCATGGTGTCCGTTCTATAGGCATTACTGTAAGTACTTCGGGATAATGATAAAGTATGCGTCAAATGCAAATGATCTCTCAGCTCAGCGGTGGCCAACGTGCTTGTGTCGCCCTTGCTCGTGCGATCTATGCTCGTGCAGATCTGTAAGTGTCTTCTGTTCGTACGCGGTATGCTGTTGACGCATGCGTCCTGCAGGGTCACCTTCTTGATGATGTTTTGGCTGCTGTCGATTCCCATGTTGCTCGACATGTCTTTGGTGAGTGAAAGCATCTGATCCCAGACCGACTCCTTTAAATAACGATACTATGTAACAGATCATGACATTGGTCCTCAAGGTTTACTCGCAACTAAAGCGCGCATTCTTGTCACTAACAGCATCTCGTATCTCAAGTATTTCGATCAACTTGTTTACCTGCGCCACGGTATTATCTTGGAGAGTGGCTCGTACAACGAGTTGATGTCGAATCCGGATAGTGAAGTATGCAAGCTTGTGTGCGTATATTTCGATCTATAATGACTGACAAGTATTTCCTTGGATATGGATTGTTTATTTTGGTGGCCATTTTCTTGAAAGCATGTGCTGCGCTTCTGATTTGGGTTTTCTGCTCGCTTCGGAGCTCAAAGCACCTTCATGATTCGGTTAGTATTACGTTCCAAGTATCGATGAAATGTTTTTCATTGATTTTTTAGATGCTGCATTCGGTCATGCGTGCGCCTCTCAGCTTCTTTGAGACAACGCCAACGGGACGGTACGTCATATCAGTAACTGGAATGATTTCTTTGAGATCGAACGATCTCTTGTTACAGTATTTTGAACTTGTTTTCTCGCGACACATATGTTGTCGATCAAATCGTGGCGCGAGTGATCCAAAATATGATCATCGGAGTCCTCCAGCAGCGATAAAGACTATTCGAGCAAGACTTCCAAGCAAAACTATTGCACAAACTGAGGTATCAAAAACGCGAACAACTGGTCTTGCCAATCGAGCTAATTCGCCTGATGCCAAGCTTCCTACTGCCAAGGTGGTCGGTACTAGGCAAGCACGGGCAGATCACGGATTGACTACAGAGCACGAACCCGTTATGGTGGATTATACGGTACTGGATTTTTATCGTATACTGAGAACGTCCTTTAGGTCTATTTGCGCACTCGTCCTCATCATGGGCATGATGAACCCATGTCTATGCCTTACCTTGCCCCTTTATTCGACACGTCTGTACAGATGACTGACATCTCCCATGGCGGTGCAGGCAGCTCCAGACCGCACATTCGTGTCTCAACTGTTGCACCTTCGTCAATCTAAAGATTCTCCCATGTTTTCCTACCAGAAACACAACAGGCAGAGTTCTTCGCAAAAACTACGCTTCCCCTTGTACGTGATCTCCTGGATGGACAAAATGGCTTGCTGTTTGCATACGGCGTTACAAATTCTGGCAAGACATATACAATCCAAGGAGGCAATGGTCCTGATTCTGCAGGTATCCTGCCGCGGACACTGGACGTCATTTTTAACAGCGTCGAGGGACTGCACAGCGATGGCCGGGTGAGTGATGGTTCAAATATACACGACCTAATAATTTATCGTCAAAATTTCTTTTCTTGGTTCAGGCCCGTTAGGCTGTACGGCGTAGAAGAAGCTAATCCTTCTGAGTTCCTGCCTCCCACGGACATCGATGTGCCAACTGATGAGCCACGACTCGCAGAAGTCCTTGCAGAACACCTCTCGAACACGGATGACATCGATATCGATCCAACCATCGTGAAGCTCGACCGCAACTACGAGTACTCTATCTGGATATCTTACGCGGAAGTATACAATGAAAAGGTGTACGACCTTCTTGCTGAAGTGATAAAGGATACGTCGCGGTGACAGATCCCTCGCTCCAACACTAGCGCACAACTCGCCCACCCGCTTCTGCTGACGCGTAATGCCCTCACCGTTAAACCTTCACCTGCCTCTGACGCTTTAGATGAGAGTAGGCCTGGGAGCGCGGGGAAGTATATTACAGGACTGAGATATTTTCGGGTAACTGCTGCACAAGCAAAGGTACTTGTCAAGCTAGGACAGCTGCACCGACGTGTCTTCGGCACGCTAGCTAACAGCCAAAATAGCAGGAGCCATGGTATGATGACTATCAAGATTCTAAGAGGACACCGGGGTGACTGGGATGTAAGTACAGTACAGATCTTGGAAATACGGTGTTGTTCTTCAACTTTTGCAGGACCCAAGCTCTCTGCAAATATCGCGGTTAACCCTCGTGGATCTAGCAGGATCGGAGCGAGCCAAGCACACGCAGACAACTGGCGATCGTCTAAAGGAGGCCGGAAACATCAACAAGTCTCTCATGGTCCTTAGGCAATGCATGGAGGTAGGTTGATTACATTTTTGTCTAATACCACACCTCACCATCTGTAGGTCATGCGCTCCAATCAAAAGCGCCTCGCACAAAGCCTAGCAAATCGTGGGCGGACGGATACTCGTGATGTTAAGAGGGCGTTGGCTGTTGTGCCATTTAGGCATAGCAAACTCACGGAGGTATTGACGGATTACTTTGTTGGCGATGGTCGAGTCGTAAGTCTTCGGCTTGGAGCATTGTGAAAGTGGTTCATGGTGAGCTTATAATGATAGGTGATGATCGTCAAAATCAATCCTTATGATACCGGCTTCGAAGAGAACTCTCATGTAATAAAATTCTCTGTGCTTGCGAGAGAAGTTTCGACGACCGTGAACAATGCACCTGTACCCCGCATACAGACCAATCCAAGCAAGCGGAGTACAGTCGGCTCAGCTCTGCCCAGGGCTGTGACCAGGAAGGTGACGATATCGAGTCTTCTCCCTAATAAAAAGGTCAGCGAAGCACATCTCGAGGTTCTCGAAGGTACGTTATTACATTGTAAATTTTACCCTTTATCAATCTGCTCTATACAGAGGATGAGGCGAGGGAAGATGGCGAGAGTGAGGAGGAAGATGATGAACTCATCAATCCGCTAGTGGATGCCTTGTTTGATGAAATAGAGGACTTGCGCCTGCGGGTACGATTCTATTACTAAGTGTTGATGTCTATTCAACAAGACGCCGTTTTCATAGCTCTACGAGGTGGAGATGCGCTGTGTAATAGTCGAAGCAGAAACCCGCTCGGGTTCAGCTTCCCGCCCTTCTTGATCGCTGTTGTTCCTCTGGCATGGTTGTACTCCAGGATCACCGTGTATGTATGGCCTTGTTCTTCTTCCAGCATCATCCTGACACTATTGATCGGTACTATCTTGCGACGTCGTGTGAACTCAAGCGCCTAGATGCGGTGTCCCGCTCACCCATCTTTGCATGGTTCTCAGAATCCTTGGCCGGACTTTCCACTATCCGGGCCTATGACTAACAATCGGTTTTCATTGCGAATAACGCGCGCCGCATTGATCGCAGCCAGTTGTGCTACCTCCCTAGTACTGCCGTAAACCGTTGCAGCTGTTTGGCTGTCTCTGCCGTTGTGACCAGCTACGTTGATGCGGGTTTGGTCGGTCTAGTTCTGTCGTATGCTTTGAACACGACAGGTTCACTGGTAGGTGGCTTTCCCTCCGTTCCAAGATATTGGCGACTAAGTGGCCGCAGAACTGGTTCGTCCGCTCCACAAGTGAAGTAAAACAGAACGTGGTTAGCGTCGAACGTATCGTCCACTATGCGAAAGACCTTGAGCCAGAAGCTCATTATGAGCTCCCTAAGGATAAACCTGCCTCTGAGTGACCCACAGCTGGGGAAGTCGAATTCCGGTGAGTTCGTGTCGCTGTGTGCACGAAATTGTGTTGAACTTGTTTGATTTAGGGAGTACTCAGTCCGGTATCGGCCTGGGCTTGATCTAGTCCTCAAGGACATTTCCATGACCATAGTCAGTCATTTCGCCAGTTTCCCCACAAATACACGTAGACTTCAGATGCTCCAGAAACCCAGAGAGAAAATCGGAATGTGGCCGAACCGGGGCAGGGAAATCATCCGTAAGACATTTGCTGTTTGTTTTTGGACTGTGACGATGCTTTTGCAGCTTCTTCTCGCGCTATTCCGGATCATCGAGCCTGCATCTGAAGCTATCTTCATTGACAAAGTAGACGTCACCAAACTTGGCCTCCATGACTGTGCGCCTTCTCTAATTCGTATAGGCACCCTTTGATCAAGCCACATCAGCCTCACGCTCAATATGTGTCATACCGTTCAGAACGTTCAAGCTCAAGATGGGTGACCAGCAGCAAATTCAAGTCGTGCGTACAACTTGAATGGCTGCCAACAGCTGGTTCCTTGCCATGAATCTTCGGATTAAGTCAGTCCCAGTTATTGAATTTACTATGCCCGTTGTGGCGTTGCGTCGACTCGGACGACATTTCTAAGCTTACGTTAATGAGATCTGTCATTTTTTCTTCTTCATGACCTACTCCGCGGACCACGATGCCGTCGACTTCCATCCAGGTTCCATGTTTTTCAAATCATTGCTGTTTGTTTGGCTTATGAGGCACGCAGATCATCATATCCGCGTTTTTATCAAGTTCAGATCAAAATTGCTTGACGTCACGCGACGTACGGATAGGTCAGCCGAGCGCTACGTGTTGTTTACATAAGTCTGTACTAGGTCTGAGTGAAATTGCTTCGCTTAGGACTGTGAATCTGGCCAAATGAGTTATGAGACCTCCTAGTATTGGCTAGTATTGGCTTTTCACCTGTATCATCACATTGTTTTTATATTTATGTGGGAGTCCTCGACTCCCACTGTGCAGAGGCCCATCAACCTTCATCACATGTGCTTGTCGTTGTCATTGAAGTGGCCTTCCGGGACTCCCACTGTGTATGGGGCTCAAACATTACCACTCATACCTCTTGTTGCAGGCAGTGGCCTTCCAGGACTCCCACTGTGTGGAGGCATCTAAAATCATCATCCCTCATCTCTCCTCACAGATGGTGGCCTTCCAGGACTCCCACTGTGTGGAGGCATCCAACATCATCATCCCTCATCCCCCCCCGCAGATAGTGGCCTTCCAGGACTCCCACTGTGTGGACTCCTCAAAAATTATCGTACCTTATCTCTGCTTGCACACAGTGGCCTTCCCAGACTCCCACTCTGTACAGGCCTCAGATCTTGCCACATCGTTCCTGTGTATAATGTGGAAGCATTGATTACATATGTACCTTATCTCGCCTTGCACATGGTGGCCTTCCAGGACTCCCACTGTATACAGGGCCCAAATATTATACCTTTCATTATGTATAATGTGGTAGCATCTCAAGCAGTTCGTTGAAATCTGTCTTCACACAGTGTGGCCTTCCAGGACTCCCACTCTGTAAAGGGCTCGAATGTTGGCCTTCACAACAACAACACCTCCTTTCCTTAAGTATGTGGAAGCGTGTACGAGCTGTATACCTTATGTCTCCTCGCACATGACATGGTGGCCTTCCAGGACTCCCACTCTGTATGGGCCTCATATATTATACCTTTCATTATGTATAATATGGTAGCATCTCAAACAGTTCGTTAAAATCTGTCTTCACACAGTGTGGCCTTCCAGGACTCCCACTCTGTTTGGGCCCCAAATATTGCACCCCACGCATATCAGTATGTATGTATAATATGGAAGCATCTCAAGGTGACTAATCTCTTCTCGCACATGGTGGCCTTCCAGGACTCCCACTGTGTATGGGCCACATATTTTACACTTATGCACTTTTCCTTATTTATAGTTTGGTAACATCTAACATCTAACAATGGCATTCAGGATTACGTTCGTTTGTTCTGCTCGCACACAGTGGCCTTCCAGGACTCCCACTCTGTATGGGCCTCAAATCTTGCACTTTACAACCACATCACATCTTTACATCTTTACATCTTTCCTTATGTATAATATGGCAGTATCCAAAGATTTCGTATCTTACCTCTCATTTATCAACACACAGTGGCCTTCCAGGACTCCCACTGTGTACAGGGCTCAAATATTGATCTTCACAGCAACATCACATCACCTGTACATATGTATAATGTGGCATCACACACAGTGGCCTTCCAGGACTCCCACTGTAGCAGGTCACAATTATAATTTATAATTTATATGTCAGTTGGCCTCAATGACTGAACCCAACCCACCACTACAATCAATATACAGTTGTAGATAATGAAAGTCAACCATTTTAATCGTGCTTTGTTTTGCCTTTCAGGTATCTTGTAACCCCAACCGAACCCTAAGCTAGGGTTGGGGTTTAAGTAAAGTAAGTAGAGTAAGTTAAGTTCAGTTATGTCAAGATATGCTAGAGTTACCAATGAGACTTGTGTATATACATGTGGCACTTCTGGGACCCCCCGAGCTTGCGAGGGTGGGTTAGAAGTGCCACATGTATATACACAAGTCTCATTGGTATATAATTATAAGTGGGACTCAAAGTAGAAAGTAAAACCTGCTTAGTAGTATGAACCATTAGGTACATTTACAATGACTTGTTGATAATAATTTGGCTGACCACTATAACTCCCCTCCCCCCCCCAGGCTCAGATAAAGGCCAGATCTACCAGAGTATTGCCAAGCTCTTATTTGCGAACCACAGTAAGTATGAATGCCGCATACACCATCAATCCCAAAAATTCTGTGACACAGTTGGCAACCGCATTGGAATGTGAGTCCTTTTTTTATTTTACTCTGTTGATAAAGACACTAAAATTCCTCCAGTCTCAGGGGCAAATACAAGAAAATCAAGGCATCATTTGGCAGCACTGGTGCGTGGTGTATGCCAGCTGAAGGGACCTAAGCAAATAACCTCTTAGGTGAGTCCCTGGCCCTGATTTCTCGGTTCTCAACTGATTTATTTGTAGATGCAGCACTGTTGGAGCTGCCATGGTACACAGACCTGGACTCCATTTGGCATTCCAATCTGTCCATGGCCGCAGTGACTCATTCATCAAAACTGGGCGTTGATCATGCCGATGCATTATACTCACTTGTGCAACTGCGTGGTGGGGCTGGTCTCCCCACACACTTTGGCTTACTCATCAATGGTCACCTTGTGCTCTCCCATATCCCTTGTACAATACCCATCCTTATGGTTCCAGTACTTCATCTTTGCAATACAATCAATAATATTCTCTGAGTGCTCAATATTGTGTGTCTGCTCCTGCTCCTGTTCCCCTTCTGCTCCTGCTCCTGCTCCTGCTCCTCCTTCTCCCCCTTCTCCCCCTTCTCCCCTTCTCCCCTTCTTCCTCCCATACCGCCCCTTATAATATGTCCCCCAATTCCACCTTCCTGGTCTTCCGGCACCAGATTACAACTTCGACTATGACGACGATGACTTGAATCAAGAAATCAGTGGATGGTTTGACGCACCGCTTGAAGAAGGTGATGATATGATGGTTGACGAGACAACCAATTGCCCTCCCCATGTTGCAGGGAAGAAATGGCAGCTCCCCCTCATCACCATCACCCCCTCCTGATCCTCCAGCACCATTCTGTATGCCCGAAACATCCTCGACATCTTCCTACAACAGCCATTTGGCATTTGGTGCCCACCTACGTTGTGCACCTGAGTGAGGGACTGTCAAAGAGTGCATCCATCAGCCTTGCACGAGCCGCTTGACCTGGAGTGCCTTCATATGTCCTGTCACCAACTACTTCTTCACCATCTGGACCCTCAATTTCTTGATTAACAAAATCTCCCCCTCTACATGAGCCCACTTTAGAGAACTCTTGTATGTTCCATCCTTCTTGCGATGCTCAGTTTCAAAGCAAATGATCATGTTGTGCAGGATGATGCAGCACTTGATCCACTGCACAGCAAATTCAAGGTCTTTCTCAGCCTGAATCCTAAACTGGAGCTCTCGAAGGGACTGAAGCCATCCCTTCAAAACAGCAAATGTGTGTTCGGCATGAGCATGAATCTAAATAAATATAAATCAATTGAAAACCACCAAAAAAAAAAACCCTTAGAGAGGTGATAATTAAATGACTTCTAGTCCTTTGTCACCGCCCATTGTAAGGCTTCTTGAAAGGGCAATGCACCATGGCTCCAATGGATATGCCACTGTCAGCCTTCACCCAATGACCATCAGGTAGAAGGTCAGCATGCTCTTCATAGAGATGAGTAGATTGAAAAGTGAATGCATCATGACACTCCCAGGATGACCCAGAGAATAATCCACAATGAGAAGGTTATGGGGCAAAATGACTGCCTAGAATTAAATTAAATTTTGCACATGAAAATAAAATAAAATAAAATAAAACCTGACAGCCAAGGGAATACTTGGATTTCCATCATAAAATGTCTCACCATAGTAGCCAGGTTTGGTAAAAAGATCCATAGTTGAGCCATCAATGGCTTAGAAAGCCACCTTCACTCTGGGCAGGTACGTGACTCAGCAAATTTGTGAGCCAGGTCAGTGTCCTCAGAGTTACCTGCCAGAAAGCAGATAAACTAATCATGGGCATCAAGTACCGCAATCATCACATGATTAGTGCAATTAACTATGGACCCAACACTGACACCTGCCCATTGAGCAACATCCTCAAGAGTAATTGCATTGCCATAGTGGCTGGCCCAATTCAAAAAAAATAGCCAGTTGGATGGAGACAGGGAGCTGAGGATTGTTGGATTGGTTTTGGAAGATGGGATGATCAGATATATAATCGAGAATATTGTCAAAGATCTTGGGGTTGACACAGAGGTTCTGCCGAAACAAGTGAGGGCGATGTTCTTCATGATGAACCAACATGTGAAGCTGAGGTGCTCATGGAGGAGGCTCATCAGGCTTGTGCAATACACAAGCCCTCTTAACCTCATCACGATGTGGTGAAAGAAATAGCAGTCAGCTAGATATACCAACTAACTTACTAAATCCTAATGGGTGTGAGTGCAGTACGTTGACCCAAGGACTGCTATTAAAGCACTTCCTTCTAATAGTGTGAGGGAAGAGAGAAAGGAAGAAGCTAAGATCTAAGACCTGAGATGTTCCGACCAACCGAAGGTTCGAGTCCGAGAATGTCTGATGCAACGTGGGATACCAACGGTGTACCCAATGCGAGATACCGACGAGGATCACCGATGCGAGGATACCAATGATAAACACCAACACGAGTAGAGGAGTCTGATGCCAATGGGAGCGGCAGGTAAGGCTAGGCTGAGGTAAAGAGAGTCTAGGTATAACTAGGTATGGGTTGCCGAGTCTAGACTTGCGGTAGCGGTCCAAGTCTTATACAAGGCCTAGGTATAGAAACCTTAGAGAGTGCGCACTTAGCGCGGTTAAGGCACG